TTACCGTCAACATACTCATTACACTTTATTACTAACCTCACCCACCACTTTTATATTATTTCCGTATCATCTTTCGTTGTTATCAATAATTAGACTTGACCTTTTTAAATTCTGTAGACAATAGCGATGATGACTAATTTTTGTTTGTTTGTCCGTCAGGTGAATGTTAAAAAATATTAAACACGTATTTTTTTATTTTTTACGTAATCATAAAATTACGACGTTACATGGAGTCGAAATTTCGAAAGACGTCACGTTAGGGTACGTTTTCTACTCAACTGTGACGTAGCGAACCCCCACTCCTCAACTTTAATGCCCGTTACTTAAGCTATTTCTTGTTAAATTGAAGTAAAAAAAAAAATACGTATCTAATATTTTTCTATTATCTGACTGACGGACTAAATAGAATTGCATTTTTTTTACCCAGTCATCATCCCTATCACCCGTTTCTGTTTTTATCAATAAAGTACTTAATTAGACTTGACCTTTTTGAATTCTGTAGACAATTATCACCCGTTTCTTAACAGCTTGTATAGAAGAAAACTATATTTTATAATTCGTAATTACAGATTTACGTTTAATCGTAGTACTACAATACGCTTAAATGATATAAAAAATATTTCTGTACTTAAATGCAAGATAAGCTTAAGCCCAATATATGGTTTGATATTTTTTAATGACTTTATATCACTATGAGTTTGCGCCTTAAAAATTAATATTGATTTACTTCGTAATTAACAATAATATTTGCATGATAATTGTCAATGTCTTCTTACATTAAAACTTATTTAAATTCAAGTATATGTTGTAGTTTTGAAATTTTACCTTACGATAACTAATAGTAAAGGGCTCTGATTGAGAGCGATTGTTTTATTTGAGAAAATTCAAAAATTCATGTTTGTTAATAAGTTGGGGTTTGTAGGGAAATTGTACAGTGTTTGTGAATTGTATTGTAAAAAGTAACTTAATGAGTAGTAAAATTTATAAATGAAATCTGCAGTTCTGCATAGACAGGCAAAAGATCAAAACTAGTCGGTAATAAATTTTTACAAGTAGCTCTATGAATAATATTACATTAACATACAGTCTAACACAGTCGAGAGAAGTAATTACTTATATATGTATACTCACCAAGTTCACGTTAATTTATAAAAAATATCTGCTTAAATTTTGACATATTCTCAAATAAGTAATTATCTCTCTCGACTATAGATATGAGTGTTAGTGTGTTAGTTAAAGAAAATTTTCATTTTTGCAGATTCTTTATGATGTTTGTTATTAATTGTAATAAAAAAAGTATTCAATAATTAAGAAGTAATAGCATTGCAGTAAAAATCAATACACATTGAAGAAATATGCTTCAATTTGTTGCATCATAAGCGCAAGGGTGAATTTCGCGGCCCTTTTTTATACCCTTTCTAACCAATGACAAATAAGTATTAAGATATCCAAGGCAAACAAACAATAGCGAAGAGGTCTACGCCTTCTATCGGTTTCAGTAATTACTATTGTTAGAATAGTAATGTGAACACAACCAAAATACTTTTTTCCAGAGAAGAAAAAATGCTATTTCAACTTTGCTTTAGTATTGTGTAACAAGAGAAATTAAAAATATATTACAAGGCAATCCGTAATACTCGAGCAAAAATATTGAAACTATTTTGTTTCAATTTTAAAGTTATTTTTCGAAAAACAATCGGTGCCTAATAGAATAATCGGCTCGCTCCACTGTGGCACTGAATGCTGATTCGGAATCAATTAACAAGAACCAATTTATTCGCAGCGCGACGATACGATTACTGCTGTCCGCCGTCCAACTGAGCTGACTTCATGTAACATTAATGAATACAAATTGATTATAATACTAAAGAAAAGCCAGTGAATCTTCTTTATGAAATAAAAAAGGTATCTAAGCTAGAATATATAATGTGAGTTCTAACATATGTTACTTCAAGCGTGCATTTGATCTGTTTCTAATCAAATTAAATACCAAATATTTACGTAATTAGTCTCTTGAACTTACGTTATACTAATATTGATTTTGTTTGGCGCAGTCAACGGTGACGCAAACTCCTTTAATGATTATTATACCTATTTTATCAATTTAGCATTCACAGTGGTATAGTAGAAATATAACCCCAATTATTCGACAGGTTAACAAATGATAATGTTAAGTTTTACTTAACATACAGTATACATAACCATTATTTAACCTGTGAAACTTGTAACGGTTGCGATAGTAATTTATGGATTTGTGTAAATTTTAAATAATCACTTTTGAAACGAATGATGATTTGAATGATATGAATTTCATGGGCAATTCATTACGTTTGACATTTTCCAATAGCTTCCAAAGATATTTATAACTATAACTTTGCTTAGAAAATACCGATTAACGTCAAATAAATGTTATCATTTATTCAATATCTTTAAAAAAAACGTCGCGATCACAATTACTAACTGGTGTTAAATAGTTGTAGCGTAAAGCTCGTGAATACATAGGACGAAGCCATAGAGATTGTGATATATTTTACAATTAGACAGGCCACTTATACAGAAATTGCATTGAATTGTGATATGTGACTGATTTTGCTGACTGAGACTGTAACTTATTCCAGAACGCAGCAGCTTTGATGGTAATGGACTCATGGTAATTTCCAGACCTGGAATGAGAAGATTCCAGCACATTAGCTGTGCCAGACTACAGTTCGCTACAATGATTTGCATTTGGAAATCGGAAACGTTCCCTAAGATAAGAAGGAATATGTGCCTTTCACACAGTTTGTCGAATCTAGATCCCAAGAATTCAAACACGTAAATTAACTTCCAAATGATAGCAAATTAGATATTGAGGGTAAATATTTTAATTATATAAACATGTTACATCTTAGATAAGAACTTTTCATTTTCAGCTCAAATAGGCAATTTCATACTTTTTACCACCTAATTAAATATAATAGTGTTGCTGAAACCTTTTAGATAGTTTTTGTATACTTTTTGTATTTTGTTTTATTATTTTGGCCTTTGAATTGTAGTAATTCTCTTTAATTATTATGATAAACTGAATATTTGAAACATTGAGCAGAGTTACTACCACACTGGTATCAAGGTATTGCCATCTCCGAGGTCTAGGAGCCGATTCTCGGACGAGAATGTAAAAAATGAACTTTTGTATGTATATTTTCCTGCGTCTATATGTTCTGGTAGGCTGATGGTACCTTCGTTTGTACAGATTTACACATTTTGTGAGACTTACCTAATTAAACAAAAAATGTAATTACCTTTCATTAGCTTATACAATACAGTGTCTCTGATTTTTTATATATTTATTATTAAAAAAACTCTTTATTTTATTGTATCTTTCATTTACATTAAACAACCCTATTTCCACTAGCTCTCCGCTTAACTTATTACATTGGGATCTGAGCAGAACAATGAATGTGATGTTGTCGATTATTTATTTATGTTTTATTCTTTATCAAACTTTCTTGAACTTATTCAATATCACAGAACGGCTGTAATCAGATCCATTTAGATTGAAACGGGTAAATCTATATACAAAATACGGGCTCCCAATTGTGATTCAATTAACATGAATCAATTTGCTCGTAGTCGGGTAGTCGATGCAATTACAAACAGCTTCGGTCGGTCAGACCGCCTGTTCGATGTCAACTTACGTTAAGGTAGTAGATTAGATATCAGGGGCAAGCGAGAGCGGCTCTGTAGTTTATCGAGTAATGAAAATGTAAATATTCTTAATTCAAGTAAGCTTATTTCATATACTGTTCAATTTAAAAAAAAATCCTACCCCTCGTTCGTTCGTTCAGGAAGGTGACAAGAATAACAAAATAATAAAAAGACAAGAAAGTTTACCAGCCTATTATTAACAAAGTAATGTCATCATTATAATTATATGTATAAACAATTATTATTATTGTTCTAAGATAACTGCTTTAGGTACCTACACTCAATTAGATAAATAAATGTAGCGTTACGAATACGGACGATTTAAACTCTAAAAATTGTGCTTTACAATTCTTCCAGTCCAAGACCAAGTTGCAAAATATTTAATGTTTTAATTTTATTCGCAGCGCTGTTCTCATGCCACTCCCGCTCTGCTTTCCACTTAGCTCAATTTGAAGGTTCACCGTCAGAGAAAACATTCACTTATTTTTATTCAATAATTTATTGAATCTATTTTTTTTTCTTTAGCAGGATATTCAAGGATTCATTTTGTTTACCGTATAATGCATTAATGGTTGTGGTATAGGATCATTGATGTGTTATCCAAATAATAGTTTATTAGAAATGTTTTAGATGAATAAAAACTACATTGATGGATATTTTAATGACTATTCTTTATTTTTTTTCCATTCAGAATATGAAAACATAGCACAGTCTACAAATTTAATATATTATCAGAATAAAAAGATAATGTACCTACTTTTTTATCTTTGTATTTCTTTTTTAATTTGTACTTTTTTAAATGCAAACAACGTCTTCATCATCATCATCATCACCAGCCCTTTTACATCCCCACTGCAGGGGCTCAGGCCTTCCTTATGGATGGTTAAGGAGGATGGGCCATGACTCCACGCTGGCCCAATGCGGATTGGAGGGTATTAACGACTGCAAATGCAGCCGGGACCAACGGCTTAACGTGCCTTTCGAAGCACGGAGTAACTCGAGATAATAATTTTTTGGGAACCCATCCCGTGACCGACCCTTGCGAAAGTTGCTTAACGACTTAGATCGCGGACCGCGGCGCTTATCCGCTACGCCACCGAGCAAACAACGTGTAAAGTTAAAATTTATAAATCATCCAATATTTCGGATACATTGTATGTGTTATTTTAAATGTGTTAAACCTAAATTATACATACTGATTCATTATATTCATACTCTTATAAATTATTATATTTTACCTTAAAAAATGTGTATCTTTCTAAAATCCATTATGGATTTCCTCCATTACAACATCCTTTAACTTTGCTATGAACAGATCAAGCACGAAAATCAACTATACGGTCTACTTGGTATGCTCCCTGTTCCAGAGCAATGTGCCATGGATATATGTTCAGTAAAAATGTGTATTAACAAGCATGTAAATTTTACGAATTTATGTTTAACTTATTAAATATGCTTCGCTGCTACTATACATTTAGCATTATCGCGTCCAATTCTTGAAGCATAAGTTTCACCTTTAAACACAAATTCGTCAAACGGGACTATCAGATGTTCAGTAAATCCTAGCTTTCTACCAATTTTCTCTGTAATTTCATTCGTCCATATCGCTTGACATATCTTTGGGTATTTAGTGATTGTTGATCTTGGCTTCATGCTCGTATACTTAGGGCCTAGATCTTCAACTGTCATCTTACAAACGGGACCATTTTTTAGTGCCTTTGCCAACTCAAGTGAGAATTTACACAGAATTTCTGCTAACTTTTGTCTTCTAAATTGGCGTAGGGTGGCGAGAAACATAATTTCAAGACTGCAGTCTGCTTCGTATCTGCAAATGCATAAACAAGTTTATTTTAGCAAATCTATAATATTAACTAAACCGGAAATCTTAATAATATTATCAGCACTTCAAAACTGTGTCTCGTTTTCAAATAATTTCACAAGAGAAACAGTCGTAGGTTAGCTGCAATTCCCTTACTTTTGAAATAGATTACATCTTCCATCAACATCTGCCATAAATTGAATGAGGGACTTAGCTGACTCTTGTGAGCAACGTTCCTCTGCAAATACATCGAAAAATGGTTTCTCAGAAGCATCCGATGTTGCAACCTGTAATTCAATGAGATTACACTTGAATATGATTTCGCTTGCTTTAGTAGATGTCACATGCTACAGAAAATATTATGTTAAAATGTTCTGGTCTTTCTAGACATATGCTTCTGGTGTTTATCTGTTCAGCCCTAATTTCATCTGACATGGGACTATTGTACGAGTATTATTTTTAACGGTAATTTAGGTATACATAAATTTTACGAATTACATATTACTGAGGTCTTCAGGAGATTAATTAATGGTAATATTAGACGGTCCAGAATTCTTCGGGTGTGAGGTGTCTAGAAAGTCTGATTTTTAGTGACTTTTATATTATACATATAAATATTCCCCTTCAATCACTTTTGACATTGATGAAAACCGTAAAGTCCTTTGCATACTTTAAGTCTCAGTGTTCAAAAAGCGAGAAGCGACTTTATTTTATTCTGGGTTTAGTCTTTTTTATTGTGTTATATAACAGCTTATCAATATATTCATACCTTGAAACATTGGGTAAAAGTGTGTTTCTTCGGGTTCCTTTAAGGTTAACAAAAAGCATGTATTTCTCTAACTATTGTTTTCAACTTTCAAAAACCCCAATAATCGTTATTATACTCCCAAATATTGTATTAAAAGAATCTTATATCTCTTTTCCTAAGTCGAATGGATTTTAATAGAAAATCACAATAATATTTCTTTTACTTTTTACCTGTAATTTATTAAAAGACGCTGCAACTACTTTGCGACTGCTCGTCTCAATTGCTACTAATGATGCGCCATCTAAAGCTGCGTCTGCACATAATTCTAACAATTCTTCAGCAGCTTGTGGGTTTTTATTTACCTCGGCACCGATGCATACTGATTCGTCTTGACAGAAAGATTCTCTTATGACCTGTATGGTGTTAAAAATTTCTACATTTTAAGTATAAATATTGGTTTTTAACATTCTTCTTTGAATTTGAATCCCAGAAAGTAGCACTTTATTAAAATATAATACGATAATTTATCACATAATTAAAAAAAGGCAATTATGCTTTAGAAAAAAGGCAATTGAAACATTTTCCTGAAAACTGTATTTGAACATTCACATTTCACATTATGGGCATACAGATATATTAATAAGTTTAAACTCACTAACTCAATTATATTATTATACATTCAAACTATAACTAGCAATACATAATCAAATAATAGATGTCTAAGTAAATTATGTCAATTTCAGCTTGATAAACAAAATAATTTTTCAATAGTAATTCAAATTAATATCAAAAATAATCAAGTTATATGCATACGTGCAAGTAATATATGTCAATTAAACTTAAAGTGAAATAGTAATTTAAGATACAATTAAATTATCAAATTAAATAATAATGTCAAAATTATATTCAATTTATGCATGTTAAATTTAAAATATCACTTTTCAAATATTTGTCAACACCGTAAAAGCATTTATCCTGTAGTCAAGTCTTAAGTTTGGATTTGAGTCTTTTTGATTCTACAATCATATGTTTTAGAAGAACGTGTGCTTCTAAAACATATGACTGTCTGACATTTTGGTGGTAGTAATTTATTTGGACGTCTGCAGCTATACGTGGTTTTACGTGGAAAATTAGTTTCAGCTAAAGAAAAAAAATAGCACTGGGTGTGATGACAAGGGATTTTCAGAACTCTCAACTCATTAAACAGAGGTTTGCACGAAACTAAACTATCAACGTTGTATTTTGCTCTAATGCATCATCTTTTTGAGCATTAAAACCTTATTAATGTGGTATGAGTTGTACCATAATATAATATTATGCCATGTCGTAGTATCGGACATCATTATAATTTGTTTGTCCTATTTTATTATTTATAATTTGCCATGTTGCTCTCATTTTGATATTTGCTTTTCTAATATACTTACTATTTATCAATCTTTGGGATGGGAAGATACATTTCCTTAACAGGCTTGTATAAAATCGACATTTGGTTTTATTTACGGTGTTTGCATGCTTGTAGTGTAAAAAACGCAGACTTTTTTTTATTAGAAGTAGATTTTTTCAAGCCTGTCGTGAACCAAGGTGGCATTTTACTGTTTAAGTTGTCATGAAATCAATTGAAAGCTATATTAAGATTTGTTTCCGCGAAGATTTCCAACCAAGAGTTACCTAGTCTATCAAGAATTTCGGTTAAGTTGCTGTAACTGAAACCTCTTATTTTTTAATTTAGGAGTTATGTGAATATTATTTACCTGTAGAGCTCCGGGCAATGTAGCGGCCGACACAGATTCTATTGTGTAATTTCCTGAAAAAAAAATGTGATTTCTTTAATACTCACGTTGTGTCTACTAAGATCGCGTGATATAATTCACAGATAAATTACAATTAAGACTGTGCTGTGCTCATGGCTTGCATGAGAAAGTATGACAAGTACAATACGCACCCAGTTCGGTGTAAGATGTCATATATTAAGATATAAAATAAATAATAGATCAGAATGTTAGAAATGCGTGGTGCGTGATTTGATCTCAAGTCAAAGATAACCACCGTACGCCTATCTGACTTGTTTTGTAGAAAATTTGCGAAGTTTAAAGGTCATTGCTACATAATATAAGTGTGTTAATGTATAGAAATAAGCCATTCACTATTCCAAAAAATTGAACTTGTTGCAAATAATCGTAGTCCAATAAAAATTGACTATACCCTTTAAGATACATATGAACCCGAGTGCTTTAAGTGGTAAATTATATTGAAAAGATTACAGTTTTTTATGATAGTTAATTTTAAGAAAATATAACATTAATAATAAAAATTATAAAAAGATCGAGCAAAACAAACAGTCAATATTCAAAATCGTAAATATCCAATCCAACAATAAAACAGTAAAAATGTATGTCAAAATGCGACATTATACTTTTTGGAAACTTTTAGAAGTCTGTTAAAAATAACACGTTTATTTATCAATTTAACGCATACAAATGAACATTGTCCGAACAGGTTATTTGTGACATTAAAAGGTCATTGACCGAAATTCTTCGTTCATATTCATACATCATTAATATTATTATCAGTGTCAATGTTTTCATAAATTTACCGTTAATATCTAATCAATGATAAAAGTAAAAAATGTTATATTCTTGAGATTGACATCGTTTAATCGTTAATAGGAATCTATTCAATGTAAAACTTCTAGTTGCCTTTAAAATAAAACTACACTTCATAACCTTACAAGAATTACCAACTGTATTTGCATAAAAAATCACTCAATATACACTAATTCATACATTCAGTTTTATACAAAGTAATTCTAGATGAATACAGACAGTTTATTTTGGTTGTTAAACCTATATTTTTCCAAAACTGATATCCAAATAATTTATTGAGAACTTTAAAGATAAAATAAATGAAGAAGAAACTCACCGTCATCAGTAGTATACCATTCCATTTTAAGATAAACAAAACTGTAGACAATTTAAAGCATTCTTTAATACAACGTGCGCTTGAGTTGAGTCGGCTTCTCGTACTGTCATATTTCTAGAAAGCAGTCAAATGACATGATAATAGCGACAGATCTAATGACATTCGTGACAATAGTCACGAATGTCATTAGATCTGTCATTGTAACATTAGCAATATTATACTGATTTTTGCAAATATATTAAAATTATATACATTTAAAAAATACCTACATAAATATATTTTAATAATAAATTCCGTAGTATTATAATCGTCTTATCAACAAATATAATGAAGATAATAGAATCTAACAACTTATCATGGCAATAGGGATATTTTATCCAATATGAGTTTATTTTCGTTTGTGAAACGAACGTTCATTTTATAAAAAGTAAGAAAAAACTTCTATACATACAAAAGAGTGATTAAAAATAAAGAGCTTATTAAACATAAATATTTAAATAAGTTTAAGACTACATTATCTAATAATGTTGTAAAAATATTGTATATATTTTTTTTATCTTTATGAAATTGAGATTCACTAATTTGGTGATGTTACGACGATGAACATGTTCGTTGTTTGATTAAAGATAAATAAATAATCTGGACACGCGCTCAAATAGAGAAGGTGAGTGTAATCTAATAAGGACAATCTAATCTTTCTTCCTTTGTTCTTTCTTTCACTCTTCTTTAAAATTTAAAGTTAAACTTACCGCTTTGAGAAGCCTCGGCTATTTATACGCCGCGTCACCAAAGCTAATGAAGGAAAACTATGAATATATTTAAATTTATATCTCACCAACATCGAGCTGTCAGGATGGGATTATAAAATAAAACTCTATTAACTTATGAAGATTGATACGAATTATGAGCCCGTGAACTAAATGTGTGGGCTCTTCAATTATTTCTGATTGCAATTCTAGTATTTTTGCAAAACTAGTGAAATTTAGCAACATATGCATTAATGGAAGAGTATGTAGACAAATTATAATATTGGAGAAAAAAAAAGTAAATGAAAATATCCTTTTGTTGAATGATGTAAAAGAAAATGAACTTAACGTTTAGTTAAGCACGTTTATTGATAATATTTCTTAAGCAATTTTCGTAAGAGCAGGTCATGGAATATTGAGTATAGCTGTAGTTCCTCCGTGCTTCAGATTCCCTGCTAAATCAGTATTTTATTAGACTGATATCGACGATGATGATCAGACGATCAGCCAACTAAGAAAGCTGCTTCACTTCCCCATCCCGCTCAAGTATCATTCCATTACTTTGAAAAAAGAATTAGAAATAGAAACCGTAAAGTAAAAACTAGAATGTTAGAGAGACCTGTATTAGAAATAAATAAGCTCAAAAATACAAAAGGAAAAAGTAGCGACCCCTGGTGACCCCACTTGGCTCCTTGATAGTTGTCTTACAACTGATGGCTGATTAAACAACGACGCGATTTACTCGATAATACTAAATAAAGCATATCTACAGTCATCTACATTTGGACCTGAGACTTCAATGTGTTTGTAACAGAATAGCAAGTCTATGTTAAAATTGTAGATAACACAATTACTTTAGAATGACGCAACAACTCTCGAAGGTACTCTGAATACATTTAAAAAATGTAATACATCTACACGAGTGTTCGTAATAAAAAACACGAATCGATAAATTTGTTCGAGTTCCCATTTGAATATCATCAGTATTGCAATTCTGTCACCGATGGGCTTAATGAAATACATCGGATGGCAAATCACGTATTCTAAACACGATGTTCCCCCTTTCCAGATAAATATCCCAAAGGAAAAGCAAATAAATACGCCCAATATCATGCGACACGCAAACAAACCTGATTAAGGACCAGAATTTATATGTACGGTATGTTTGTAACATCTATTAACAATTATGTTATTTATATTGAGTAAAAATGTAAAAGTTCTTCTAATATTTTGGCTACTATAGGAGTCCGATATCTTTTTGTTTTTTTTTTTCAAACAACCTAGAAATCATCATACAACTTAAGCATTTAAGCAATAGCTAAACGATTTATTAGGCCAAATATTGTAACTAAAGTATTGTAATCTATCATATTCTATTTTAACACCAAAAGTCTAATTTAATGGTATATAATTTGAAAACGTAATGCACTAGAATATATTTAGGCTGGTACTAGAGTGGTCCGGCGGGCTTGTTGGATCCTGGATCCTTCCCCATCTGCAAAGGGGATTTTGCTGCGGGTTTTACCAGGTTTATTATTATATATTGTAAAATACGTTCGTAGTTTGGGAGCCCTATTGAATTTTATTTTCTGTTTTTAATATTTGTTCTATCAATATCAACTAATTAACTATCACAGTTCATAAGATATAGCTGGATGATAGACCGACTGACAGATGGATCAAATCAAAATCATTTATTGAGTCTAAGCTGTTACAAGGCACTTGTGAAAGTCGAAACTCTATGCCATCGGTTCAAAAATCCACAGCGGGATATCTTGCACAGAGAAGAACCGGAAAGAATCTTGGCAAGGGCTGCTTTTCCCTGGATTTATTCTGGATTTATAGTGGAGTCTCAGTAATAGGGGTACGGAACCCTAAAAATGTTTCATTCAAATGGTTTTATACAAATAAAAGACGTCAAAATAAGCTGTAATTAAAATAAGATAACTACATTATAGTACTTCAGGACACTGAAGGAGCCAAAACATTATTTTTTGACAGAAATAAATTGCAAATTTGTTATTTGTATATTTTTTTACCGCGAATTCACAATTTTTTAATTTCTTGTCGTTGTTATACTGTTTTAATTTATTTTAAATTGATATGTGGGCGAGTTACTTTGAAGCCCGGGACTTTACATATAACTATTACAATAATCGTAATGATTTGCGAATTATCATCATGAGCCCATTTTGGCTCAGGCCTTTCTTATGGTTAAGGAAGATTTGCCATTACCCTCCACGCTGGGCCAATGCTATAAGAGGGTTTTAACGACTACAAATGCAGCCAGGACCAACGGCTTAACGTGTTTTCCGAAGCACAGAGTAGCTCGAGATAATAATTTTTGGTCACCCATCCCGTTACTGACCCCTACGAATGTTGCTTAGCAACAACATTCGCTGGCAGCGGTGCTTATCCTCTACGCTACCGAGCTACTCTTTTTGATTCGCTCTCGAGATTTGCGTATAACGAATTCAAAATACTTGCCACTTTTTGCATCTACAAGTATATATCACGTCGTCTTTTGTTTTTATGGCCAGCCTTAACTTGGCCATCATTGTCATAAATCATTCGATAGGCTTATTCTCAGTACATTATTTTAATTCTTTATTAAAATATTGTCGCCCTTTGAAAAATTAAAATTGGTACTTTAAAGAAATATCTTGTTTCCAAATCACCATCGGACCTAATTTAATGTTTTAATATTTCATCTACAAATAAAACATTTATGTTTTTATATTGTCTGTATTCTAAAAATGATATCGCAATGTTGAAATTAAATTTAACTTTAACAGTGTTATTAATAAACAAGGTTTAGGGTTTGAGTAAATTTACGTTGAGACTGCACTTAATATTAGTCAAAAATCATATTATTAAACAGAGACTTCGCGAAGGTTAACCTAGTACGAGGTTCTACGGGAGTAATATTTACTCCTACAAGGTAGAAGCTTCGATTATTCTCTGTAGAATATGGACTAATAGTAAAATTGCAATTTAAGAGTAAATTTACTATGACGCTAAACCTTATTTATTAATAGCACTGTAAAAGAACATAGTTAAATAACCACAACGTTAATTGTTTCGTTCACAATAATAGTGCCTACTCACTAACTAAATATTACCTACGCCCGATTGTTAAAAATACTCGACAGACAATGTTCAATAGTAGGTAAAATGTTTCTAAAGTGTTACAATAAGTATCCTTAAAAAATATTTTCTTTTCATTTAATCTAAAATAAGAAGAATAGAAATAACTTTGTCTATCAATGTTTTTGTATTAAATGTTCTCGTAATCCACTCATGATGCTGTAGAAATATTATAATGTTTATTTTATTAAAAACGGAGAGAGTACATAGCCAACATTTTAGTTCGAAGGATCGCAGTAACTTTATTATACACTAGTGGCCGCCAGCGACTTCGCCCACGTTTTCCATTATTTCTTCGCTCCTAATAGTTGCAGCGTGATGTTATATAGCCTAAAGCCTTTTTCGATAAATGGTCTATTCAACAAAAAAATATTTTTCAATTCGAGCCAGTAGTTCCTGAGATTAGCGCGTTCAAACAAACAAACTCTTCAGCTTTATAATATTAGTATAGATAGCATATAACAAAGTTGCTTCTCGCTGCCTGTACTTACAACTCTCCACGCTGGCCCAGCGCGGATTGGAGGGTATTAACGACTACAGACACAGCCGGGACCAACGGCTTAACTAGATAATATGTTTTTGGTTACCCATCCCGTTACCGACCCTTACGAACGTTGCTTAGCAACAACATATCATATAATTTAGTTACTTCTCGCTGTCTGTACGCTGAGATTTTAATGTTGTTTTCATCGGTACACAGAGATATAAGTTAAGATTTGCTTGTTTCTTTGCATGGGATAGGCTCCGAAATTATTGGCCCGATTTATAAAAGTCTGTTATATACAGGAAGCTACATAAAACGTGGGGAAATAGGCTATAATTTACGCGTGCAAAGTCGCTGGGAAACAACTAATATATGTATAAAGTGGGACCACGCGGGCGAAGCCGCAAGCGGAAAGCTAATAACATATAATATTTTGAAGGTAAATTTCAGACTTATCTGACATCTACAGTAAGATACAATTGATATGATGCATTGATGTACCTGTGCTGAAAAGGTCAAATTTCGAAGCACGACAAATATCGGCCAATCAGAATGATTCAACTATCACGCCATTGAGCGATTTACCAATATCCATGCTCGACCCACTCTGTGAGTGAAACGGACACCTTATCGTATTTCACACTGTATGGTAGTTTGACACAAGACTTTAACTTTTTTGAAGTCTTCAAAACAAAATAAACTTTATTTAATTAAAATAACTACTGTA